AAAAAAAAAAAAAAAAAAAAAAAAAAAAAAAAAAAAAAAAAAAAAAAAAAAAGAGAAAACTTCAGGAAAGAAAAAGCAGTCCCTTCCACAAAGGCAGACGATCTACAGTCTATCTTTGGAAGTCCGGGGTGAATCTTCTGCAATCACTCTGGAAGAGCCTCCATAAGAAGCTTGTCACAAGGGTGGGTGTTACTTGTCCCAGAAGGCTTCCCTTCATTCAGAATCAGAGGAGAAGAGGCTAAAATTCATCCCAGGAYACCAGGGCAGTCAGAGTGATAGTCCAGAGTCCTTGTCATGCATCTGGCACACATTCAAAAGATGCTGCTGTTGCTCAGGAAGAAGGCAATTCTCTATCTTCCCACTTTAGAGTTTACTTTGAAGCAGCTGACCTAAAAAAAATATTTTGGATTGAAAATACTTAAGAAAGCAAAGGAAGCAAGCAAATTTTAAGGGTCCTGATTTCCTCTAACAACCATGCTAGATTATTTTGCAGCTATTTGGAAAAATACCTGTGATAGTCTAACATTTAGCAGGAAGTGCAAAAACAGAAAATGTCTTAAACACAGAATTAGAAAAAATTCCTAGCATGTGCAAATTCTGTGAGAGGTGAACTATGTCCAGTCACTGTTCTGTGTTGCAAGAAGTTATGACACAGAMAAGGAACATGTCTAAAGAACAGAGATCTGTGCTACAAGCACCCTTACAGATTTACCCCACAAAMGGGATATCTGCTGTGCAAGTGCCAACCCCATCCATCTTTAAGACCTAAGCCCTAGTACAGTAAACCAAGCACAGCTAAGTCACAACTAAAACAAAAATAATTAAAGGGAAGTAAAAGAAACATCCACTTATCCTGCAAAGGTGTCAGTGCAGCCCAAGACATTCACTACCAGTCACACTCACAYGATGAGATTTGCTCTTTTAGCAGGTGCAGCTTAAAGAGAGAGCATGCATGAGCATGGCTGTCAGCCAACATCAGGAGAGATACTATCCCTTTCTTAAATTTTAATTTGCAATATTCCACAAATCCAAAGAATGCACACCTTAACAATATGCATTCAAAAGGGTGGGAATCTAGAAAACTGCTATATGACTTTTTACTGAAGAGAACTGGTATAGATTCCGTCATTTAGAAGCAACAGTGTGTATTTTACCTTGCTCAGAAACTTTGAACAAATCTGGTTTTCTACATTTGGARCCAACATGAGAGTAAATCCACCTTCCCTCTTACAGATATGTAAAACACAAAGCCCTGATCATTAAAGAGAGAGGCYAGTGCTGATTTCAATAGGAATTATGGCCAGAACAGTTATTTGATTAAGGGCTTACACCAATTCAGCTGAAGAAAATTTTCCTTCTTTGTGCAGTTACATGGAAAAATTTATGCCCTGRCTTTATCTATGGCTTGAAAAGCATTATACCTCTAAACATTTTAGCAGTTAAGTTTATTAATGAAAACACCCAGTCAGATATGTTTTGTGGGTATGAACTTCCATATTGGAACACAACCGGGTATCTATTTGGAAACAATATTTCTAGCAGACTTTGGCCATGGCTTTATATAGGATGCTTTGATTTTGGAACAGAGTGTAAGTTTACAACTTTGCTGTCTATTAATTAATTTATTTTCCATTAAGAAGTGTAAATTACTGTTTGAAGGAAATCACCGGCTTTTAGCTACCCTGTACTTTTCTGCTTTAGTTGGCTTTTACTGCAATACATCCTCAGAATATTTTTTCCCCAGTATTTCTGCTGYAGTTGGGAAAATTAAAGAATAACTCCTAAGTCTACATTGAAAGTAATAAGAAAATACATAATTTAATTCATAAAGAAACTGGATCCTTTCACAAGGTTGTGTATTACAATACTGCGCATTTCATCTTACATGAATGATATGCAAAAAAATTTARTGGAGTTACAGCAGTTAACATACTCCCAAAACTGAGTAATGAATAAAGTCACAAAGAAAGARCATTCAACAGAACTGATGCCAGGGATGGGAGGGGGAAATAAAATGTGGAAGAGTCATAAAGAGAAAAACTACAGGAGGGGCTCTCAGACATGCAAAGGAAAATAAACACTTCAACACAGGAGAAACAGTTTTTATATGGCAAGCAATTTTAGAGAGATGGAARTTTTTGAAAGGGAAAAAGAACTCTCTTTTTGTTTTATAATAACTGAGCAGCTCCTTCAGTACAGAATGAGTTTATTCTCATTACCACCATGTCTCAAATTTTTTATCAGTACTAAYACATCCTTGAGACATGAGTTAAGAAGGTTATTTTGTTCACATTTTCCATGATAGCTATGTTTTCCATTTGTAATTTATTACAATTGTTTTTATTGTTCCTGAAATATCTTATTTTAACATCCTATTCAGCTGATGTTTTGCTACCAAGATGTACTGTTCTCARCATTTGCTGACATGTAAGGTACTGCTCATCAGAAGCCTGCAGTCCAGGCTTTGGGGTGAGGGGTTCAGAGCAGGGGCAGTTCTGCACAGCCCTGCAGCAGACAGACACCACAACTTCAAACCTCTCCCAGGGGAGGCATGGCCAGAGGCACAGGCTGAAACWGGGCACGTGTGAAAAAACAGCACCAACAGTAGCCTGCATTTGATTTCAGCAAGAATGCTAAAAATGTGGGTCATATCATTTGCTTTGACCACTAARTTCCAGATAAATTTTTAAAACTTTGTTTACCATAGCTATTCTAAACATCTACTTCTTGTCTGTAGTGTGTAACTAAAAGGTTTAACTAAAGGTTAAGATAATTCATTAAAAACAATCTCCAAAACAAAGACCTGGTGATGCTTTGGGGTCAGAAATTTTTAATCACAAAAGAAACCCAATATTATTCCCCTCCTGCTAACCTTTCCTTACACTTTTTATAGTCTCTCCCTTTACCTYGCCCTGACACCACACCCATCTTCTCCCACTCCTGTAAACTCTCTCAACCAATCTTATATTCCAGAGCCTCCAGTTGCCTCCCACTTTGGACACATATCCGTGAATGCAAATAGCATCTTCACAACAAACAAGTAACAGGAAAGAGGAAGAGAAGAAGTGAAGGGAAATGTGAGAGCTCTTAAATAAATAATATTATTCACACTCTTAGGCAAACCTTAATTTACAGATTGAAGTGCTTTGGGAAAGTAAGAGGTGTTGACTCCTTTGTTATTCACTGACAGTTAAAAATACCTTTAGTTTTAAGAAATCTGTTGTTTCCTTCCCACACAATTTGTTAACTCTTGGCTGACACTGGACATGGTGTTGCTGGTAGCAGGACAAGCAAGTATAAACACTGGCTGCCAGCTGAGTATGTTTACAGAGAGGAGAAGCTTCTTCTCACCTTTCCCACCTGTGCACTCCCTCTGCGCCTGCGTTGTACAGCCTGCTGGCCTCCATATGCTGCCCAGGGAGCAGCTGCTCAGGTTCCACAGCCACACTTATTTATCTTCTGCCCAAATGCATTCTGCCAAAAAGACCAATTTGAGAGTGATTGAGACATGAGGATTTTTGCCAAAATAAATTGTTTCCCAAGAACACACTACTCATTCTAAGGCCATATGACTTACTTTGTACAAAAATGTGCATTCCAAATAAAGTATTAAACACCTCAAACTTTTCACACACCACTGTGAAAAATTACAAATTATTTCATCAATGACACTGTTTGGTACTTATTGTTGCAAAATGCTTGGCAATACCTCCTTTCTCAGCCTTCATCCATGACACAGCTTTTGGACAACTCTAGGTGACTTATCTAAAGGC